GAAAAAGTTCAACACAACATGTTTTGACATTGTAATAAGACTTCTTATTGTACTTGTTCTTCTTAGCAAGTTTTTACAATCTATTCTACATTACATGATTGCTGCTATTATTTGTTTTACAAAAATTAAGCCAATTTTAAAATAGGAGAACTAACTGCAGCCTATCAACAAATTAATCAACTTCCAAGCCGTCCAATCGAGTGACTCAAAACAACTCATTTTCACCAAAACATCAAAATTTAGTTTCTCAACAATTAGGATAACTCATCAGCGTTAGCCTAAATAACTCAATTACACAACACATCAAAAGACTCATTTGCACAACTTCCATGTAATGCAATGTAGACAACAACTCAACTCATGCATGTGATACCATTATGGAAAACACGGGTCCACTTGCTCCTGAATTCTTTCCTTGGAACTAGAGCACACTAATTCTCTACCAACACCTTTAGTAACGTTTCACTGATTCGCATATGGAACCTACTACTCGCTCTTGAATCCATACCATTGGACCAGAATACACCAAAATCGCTACTAATCTCTTTATAGTAACGTTTCACTAATTCCCATCTAGAACCAACTACCCGCTCCTAAATCCACATCATCGGAACATAGCACACCAAACTAAACCGATGTTTGTACACCATGATGCATGTCATACAAATTAATGCAAGAACAATAACAATATTTAAGGCCCCCTTCTGACCGTAAATAACATACATTAACAACAAAATAGTAATTCATCATTCAGAACTACTATTCAACAATCACAACAATAATAATACATATGTAATCACCATATATTTATGCACATGATATATCACATAGTAATGTTCGCTACATAAAACTGTGCACAACACATAATTCATATTTATATATACACCTATATAATTATTCACATCACCAAACGACTATTAATATACAACTCAATAACAACATTCAAATAACTCCATTACTATCCAACCATTGATAATAATTTACCATAATATAATAATCACAATTAGGCATGCATCCCGCAATCATTTACCAAAACATGCAACGACATCAAATGGAAATAATCGGTTCAATTATAAACACATACAACTTTAAGTCAATTATTATCATTCAACAACACAATTTAACCATGGATCTAATTAATTAAAGTTACCAAAATATGCCCAACAACAGTTAACATGAACAACACGACAAAACAGCACAAAAAACCCAATTCAACAGCAAAAAACGTATCCATTAGCATTACACCTTAAGTAAAAGAACATATTCACGTACTTAAGTTTACATTTATCCTTTTAAGGCATCACCATGAGATACTAATACGCATTAGCTTTCCAACAATTCAATTCACTTCTCAAATGGAGTTAGGAATCTTAGGTTATGATAAAAATCGTATTTGAACCACATTTGAATGGTCGTGACGCATAAATCGTCACAAAGCTGATCACTGTCAGCCCTCTCCAATACGCGACGACTAGGTCGTCGTGAGTGTGACAATTGTCACGCTGTAGTAGAAAAAAATTTCCTGCTTTTTTCACCATTGGAGGCCTAACGTACCTCTGATTTCGATTCCGTAAAAAGTCTCAATCTCAGAATTCGACATATAACAATTATCATATTTAGAGTAATCTCCCTCTTATCTTATAATTCCAGCAAAAACACTTTCAAACTCTAACAATGGAGGTTCTTCCTTCTCATTGTCTTTTTGTCTCTTTCTCTTAAAACTCCAAAATACATACGGATAACTTTCAAGTTCCCAAAACTCCTTTTTTATTTAAAAACCTAATTCTCTTTTTAGCTTATCCTCTTTTCATCCTTATTTATTTTCATAATCACCAAACTACCCTTAATCCCTATTTTCCTATTTATTTTGATTAATAAATCTAACTCCTAATAATTCTACAAACTCTTATTGTCTTATTAATTAAAAATAACCGTTAAATCCAATTATTTCTAACTCCCACCTCAACACATCTATTATCTAATTACTTTCTATCTTTCTATTATTATTATTTTAATCATACTTCGCATCTAAATTAATTAAAATAGTTCTATCACTCTCTAACTCCCATTAACCCAACCAAACACATGAAAGTCATAATTAAATCACATCATTCACATAAATCAACTAATAAAATATGACTTAATTTGATTAAATTAATTAATCAAATTTCGGGATGTTACATTTATCATCAACTCAAAAATCGTTTTTTTGACATTTCTTGGACGAATACTTTAATCGAGATAAGCCTCATATAACGACTGCGATACATTAATGTTTTACTCTTTGGTCTTCTTCTCCTTTAACATTGTTGTCTTTTCTCCCATTAGTCTCATTCATACCTTTAATTGTTTTCTTGGGGGATGCTTTCTTTCGGCGAGACTATCACTTCTTTCTTGGTGATTCACCTTGCCTCTTTTATTCTTTCTTTCTTCCACGACCATCTTTCCAACCGTCTTTTTAATGTTAAGAGCTGTTTCAGAGAGTCATTTCTCATTAGAGGATTACTTTTCAAAATAAAAAGTAGACTTTCTATTTAGAGGGTTAATATCTAGAGGATGACCATATGGTTCAAAACATTAGTCTTTTATGAGGAGGATATTTAAATTTTCTATAAGAAAATTGAATCTATCTTCAAATAAGAGTTTTGTGAAAATATTAGTCTATTAATGATTTTGTATATATCAACAAATTTTATATATAAAATTTCTATGTGAACATAGTCCTAATGAAATGTTGTTTAATTTTTATATATTTTGTTTTAGAAGGCAATTTTGATTCTTTGATAGGAAAATGGAAGAAGTGCTATCACATAATAAATGGATCTTGCTTTCCTTTATTTGATACTTCATCTAGAGAATTTCATTTAGAGAATTTGAGTGCTATAACTTGTAGGTGCTATATATTCTACTCCTATTGTGGATAATGCAATCACCTGTTGTCTTTTGCTAGCACAGGAGATTAAATTGTCACCAAGAAATTAACTTTAAATATTAGAGTTTGTTTACATCGTATGTTGACTTGAAATATGTTTTTGTTACTTAAATGCATGTTAATTTCATAGATCTATACATTACACACATGAATGAGGGATACAAGCACAAAGAATGAGGTATAGTTAAATTGAAGTCATTGATTACTACACCTTTAGCATCACTATCACAACTATCACAATGTCTGTCACTATCGCTATCACTTGGGCAATATCGAAGCAGGAAAGAGGAACACACCACCCCCTTTTACAGTTCTCCATGTCTACTTGCTCTGTTCATACTATCTACTTACTATATACATTTTTGTGTATTTTCTTTGTCTTTGGATGGAAAAAAACTGTGCCACAATCACTTTCAATTTTGGTTTAGTTTTTGTGATAGTTTTTTATTAAATTAAATGAACCTTAATTTTGTTAAAAGAATTATAATTGTGAGCATTGTGTGAAAGTTTCGCATTGATTATGAATATTTAGATTTGAACATTTATAAATAAGAGAATAATCTTATCTATTATTTTTAAAAATTGTGTGAGTATTTGGTGTGTTTATCATAAAAATGTGTTGCTATAAAAATAATCATAAAGTGTAAAAGTTCTCCTCGCATTGACCCCTCGAATTGCTCCAACAAATTTATATCACATAAAGAAACAAAGTGTGAATTGTGAGGTTTTAAATTGCGGTGCAATCGCAACAGTCTCCAATTACGTTGTGAATTAAAATCATACGTCCAACAGACATTATAAACTGCATCCGAGATTTTATCCATTCTTTAAATATTTTTTCATCAAAATTCAAAACTTCCAGGACATCAAAACTCAATTTACTTTTGTAATGAAAAATCTAACATAAAATATTTTTTAAACAATTTATTTCAAACACCTTCTAATTAAAATTCGCGTCATAATCGTCGCAAAGTGCATTGAGAGAATCCTAATGACCACAATCACAACCATAGTTTTAAAGTTCTTAATCACTACAACATTTGTTGTCTCTGGCAACACTTTTTTAGGTAACATGTAGAAATTGTTGCCTTAAATTCATATAGACAACGATTTACGATTGTTGTCAAAAATATGTTTGCAACCCTTGATAATCGTCGCCTAAAATACTTTTGGGGACGTTTATGGAGCGATACTCTTTTTTTTTTTTGTCAACGGTTGTTAATTGTGCCCTTAACTGCTTTTGGAGACGATTTTAGAGCGTTAAAATATTATTTCTTTAGCAATGTTTGACAATTGTTCCCTAAAATATTTTTGGGGACATTTTTAGATTGTTACATTAGTTCTAATAAAAGGCTACATTTCTGAAATGTATAAATTTTTTTAGAATTATCAAATTTTTGGTGGCAATCTTCCCTCCAAAACATATACACTAAAAAACAAATATTTTTCTCTAAACATTATTAATATATATAAAAAAAAATATTTTTCTAACACAGGAATTTAAAAATAAAAATTTTCAATTAATATATATAAGTTTTAGACTAATATATATATATATATATATATATATATATATATATATATATATATATATATATATATATATATATATATATATATATATTAAAAAAAATTTCATTAAACAGAAAATAAAAAAATTTCTAACACAGGAATTTAAAATATTTTTCATTACTAGTCCTCTCAATTATTGCCACGTCTTATTAAAAAGAATAAAAAATAAAAAAAAAAAGAAAAAGAAACAGATAAGGAAAACAAAAGCAGCAGCTTTCGATTCTCCTTCTTTTTCGTTCACACATTACGCCGAACTTAGCTGCGCTCTCAGACGCTCTGTCCTTCATCCGCTCCGAGTCAAACCTCTTTCGTTCACACCCTCTGTCGTGTTCTTCGTCACTCCGTCCAACTGCCACGTCGTGTTCGTCGTCCACGTCGTCGTCCGTTCGTCGTTCGCCGTCCAACTGCTTTCGTCCACGTCGTTCGCCGTCCACGTCGTCTGCCGTCCACGTCGTCCAAGTCAATTTACTCAAACTTGTTTCCTTTAGTCAAATCAATGGCTTATGGTCTTCACAAAATGGGTGTTTCACAGGGTAATGTTGTTTTGCTTTTACTTCCCAACTCAATTTACTATCCCATTATACAATTAGGTGTTATGTATCTAGGTGCTGTTGTTACACCATTGAATCCTGTCAGTAGTGTTGCTGAAATTCGTAAGCAGGTTAATGAGTGTGGTGTGAGTTTTGCTTTTACTATACCCGAATATTTTAAGAAACTAGAGCCATTCAACATTCCAAATATTATTGTGCCAGAAAATGAAAAGGATTTGAAGTATGATTGTTTCTCTTGTTTCTTTAACCTTATTTATAGTAACTTTGATTTCCTCAAAGGCCAGTTATTAAACAAGAAGACACTGCTGATATATTGTATTCTTCTGGTACTACAGGTGTTAGCAAAGGAGTTGTTTTAACGCGTAGAAATTTAATTGCTATGGTTGAACTATTTGCGAGGTTTCAAGCTTCTTCTTCTTCTTCTTCCAAAAATGTGTTTCTAGCTGGTTTACCAATGTTTCATATATTTGGTTTATCGCTCACTACTACCGGATTACTGTCGTTGGGTTCTACGATTGTTGTAATGAAAAAATTTCAAATTGACGAGGCTATTAGGGTGATTGATGAATACAATGTTACACACTTTGATGTTGTTCCACCCATGTTAGTGACATTGACAGAAAAGGCGAAGCGGGTTAATGGAAGTAAGTTGCTGAGTTTGAGACGTGTTTTATGCGGCGCCGCGCCTTTAACCACAACAATTATAAATGAATTTTTCCAAGTTTTCCCTAATGTTGATTTAATACAGGTAAAGTACATCAGAATAAACTAGTCTTATTCTCTTTATTGTAAGGATGTGCAACCTTAAAATTGTTTCCTTTTAGGCTTATGGAATGACTGAGTCTGCTGCAGTAGGAAGTTGCTGCTTCGATAGTGACAAGTTTCACAACTATTCTTCAGTAGGATTGTTAGCTCCAAACATGGAGGCAAAAGTGGTAGACGTGAACAATGGTGCACTTTTGCCCCCAGGAAGAAGTGGCGGGCTTTGGTTGCGAGGGCCTTCGATTACGAAAGGTGATAAATCTTCATTTTTTTTGTAATATAAATTCTTTGTCTATAGAAATCAATCCTAACCTATATTTGCATGAGATGAATTCAATGTCTTCAGCTGTTTTGTTGCTAAAATTGTACCTTTTCTGCATGTCTTGTTTGTATTCCAATTGAAACTAGTAACCATACTTTATTTCTTTTATTTCTTAGGATATTTAAATAACGAAGAAGCTACGATGACATCAATTGATAAAGATGGCTGGCTTAATACCGGAGATATTGTTTATTTTGATGAGAATGGATATTTGTATTTATGTGATCGTTTGAAAGACATGATCAAATACAAGGGCTTTCAGGTATCAAAATTTTTGGTTTATTAAAATTTTATATTACAGTTTATTGTTTCTCAACTTGTATTGTATTGTATGCATGTTGTTGTGTATGACACACACATGTTTCTGTTACAGATTGCTCCTGCTGATTTAGAAGCTGTGTTAATTTTGCATGCCGTTATATATATATATATATATATATATATATATATATATATATATATATATATATATATATATATATATATATATATATATATATATATATATATATATATATATATATATATATATATATGAACACTTCATATATTTTGTTTAAAGTGCGTCTTTAACGTGTAGTATCCAGGGTATTGTCAGCTACGAATGAGGAAGGTCGAGTTAAAGGGGAGAACTCCATTGAACATGTCACATATGAGGAAGATGCTATTGATGCTGACGACAATGATGAGAGACTTACTAAATCATCTAATGCTTCTGATAAAGCATTTGAGGTCTTAGTAAGTGACATATTTACCTCGTGTTTTGCTTGTGATTTGTAGTACTTTGTTCATTAAGGGTACAAAAGTTTTCTCAGGTTTCTGATCATGCTAGGAAAGTTATGCATGTTTATTTATACGAGTGGGTTGTGCATCATTTATCAAATACAGTATTTAGTATACTTTCTTTGATTGGTTTTCCTATTATGAGTTTAAAATCTGGCAGTGTAAATAAATACAACACATGCATGCTTCAATCTTTCCTTCCATCTCCTTCTTTGTTTTGACTTTGATAAATATGTATTTTATATTGTCTCAAGTTAGAATTTGAGTTTGAAACAATAAAAAAGAATAGAAGTTATATCTAGCTATGAATTTATCAATTTTATATTTTCTTTTATTGGAACTCTATCTATGGTCACGGTTTTAGGACCGTACATGTATTAACTTCAATCATTTCCTTCCATACCTGGCTAGCTCCGTTAATTTGGAAAAAAAACAAATGAGTGTTGCAATCAACACTCATTTTTTTCCATATATGTCTGAAAATTACATTAATGCAATGAAGAAAAACCAACCATAGTGCTTACTGAAAAAATTTTCTTTAAATTTGGTGTATCTTCTTTCAGCTTACTATGCAAGGGAAACAACATATTGAATCTTCTAGCAAAGTAAACAATATCAAGCATCGTGACGAAACACCGCCTGATGTTCGAGTACGGAAACTAAAGGATCAGCTCATCCAAGCTAAAGTTTATCTTTCCCTTCAGGCAGTTAGGAACATTCCCCATCTCACTTGGGAACTTCGGCTACGGGTAAAGGAAGTTTCACGAACAATTGGAGAGGCAAGCAAAGATTCTGACTTGCCAAGGAAGTAAGTGAGTTTTTAAGAATGTATTTTTTGTACTTGTCACCAGGTTTTCCTATTTTTATATAGCTATTACGTTAGTTATTTCATATTTAGCTTTATTGGGAAGTAGCATACAAATATGTTGAATAGTTCAGGTCTTCATGATCTACATTTTATTGAGTTTGAACTTATATTTGTAATTCTACTAATGTAGTGCAAATGAGAGAATGAAGGCAATAGAGCAATCATTGATGAAAGCAAGGCAAATTCAAGATGATTGTGCCACATCCGTGAAGAAGCTTAGGGCTATGCTCCACTCATCAGAGGACCAGCTTCGCGTGCACAAGAAACAGACCTTATTCTTAACACAGTTGACAGCTAAAACACTGCCTAAAGGTCTCCATTGTCTTCCGTTGCGCCTTACAACTGAATACTATAACTTGAACTCTTCTCAGCAACAATTCCCCAATCAAGAGAAGTTAGAAGACCCTGGACTATACCATTATGCAATATTCTCAGATAACATATTGGCCACAGCTGTTGTTGTGAATTCTACTGCTGCCCGTGCTAAGGTAAGTTATTTTCACGTGGAGATTTCCTGAGTTGTTTTTATTCGCCAGGATTATGAAACTGAACACCAAATAAAATAATTTGTTATAGTATCTCTCTGCAGTTAAATTACTATTCTCTCAATGTTTTAACAAACTAATATGTTTTCATTTTATTTGTGCCTAGAGGTAGTGATGGATAAAAAATGAAAACAAAAACCTTATCTGTTACAATATAATGGTGGTATTTTTCTTTCTGATCAGCATAATAATAATGTAGTTTTAATAAATTTTCAGGATTCCTCCAAACATGTTTTCCACATTGTAACTGATAGGCTCAATTATGCGGAAATGAGGATGTGGTTTTTGGCCAATCCACCTGGAAAGGCGGCAGTTCAAGTTCAAAACATTGAAGATTTGCATGGTTGAACTCGAGTTACAGTCCAATTCTTAAGCAGCTAAGTTCTCCTTCAATGATAGATTATTACTTTAAGGCTCACCGTGCTTCTTCTAATTCGAACCTCAAGTTTCGGAATCCTAAGTATTTATCTATGTTGAACCATCTTCGCTTCTACTTGCCCGAAATATTTCCAAACCTCAAGAAAGTGCTGTTTTTGGATGACGATGTAATTGTGCAGAAGGATCTCACTGGTCTTTGGTCAATTAAGTTGAAGGGAAATGTAAATGGTGCTGTCGAAACTTGTACAGAAAGTTTTCATCGGTTTGATCGTTACCTCAACTTCTCAAATCCTCTTATTGCAAAGAATTTCGACCCCCGTGCTTGTGGATGGGCATATGGTATGAATGTTTTTGATCTGGTCGAATGGAAGAAACAAAACATCACAGAGGTGTACCATAATTGGCAGAAGCTGGTAAGCACACTTCAGTTTACTTTTCAATAACATTACAAAATTGAATGAAATGCATATACTGTAAACTTGTCTCATTTCTTTCCAAGCTAAATAGGGTGCCAAAATTCCCATCAATGTTGATTGATGATTATGTAGATCTTCACAAGTCAAAGGAAATGGATGCAACCAAGTCAAACAATGGTGAAAAACCGGGCAGCAGCGTTAACCGTAAAGGATATAAGACCGCAAATGCATTCATCTACATCAACTCATGCTCCATGTCATGGAAAGGTAACCATATATACCAATATTATTGATTTATATTTTTCTAATTATGTTATAGTATCAAAATGGTTGTTAATGTATGCAAAAATTTGCAAGTAGTGACAACACCTAGAATAAAGTAAGTGGTTGAAATTGTTTAAGTAGTGACAACACCTAGAAGTGGCTGAAACTGTTTTATTTGTGCAAGCTTTCATTGATATTTCACAAACATACTTGCCTGGAATAAGATTATGGGACCCCCTTGTTTGATAACACTCACTATGTATGCTGTAAATTTATCCATATGATACTGAACACCAAAGAAGATACAACAAGTAAGAGTGTTCATCAGAGTTCATTTAATCCAAAAAAATAAACATAAAAGGATAGCACAAGTTATACATACATACATACATAGAATTAAAGGCTATTGTAAGTCCTGAATAGTGAGCCAAAAACAAAATGGTTTTCATAATTGATTTATTTGCTAGTAAGCTCATGTCACCTATTACAGTTTAGAACGAAAATTCACATCCATTAAAAACCTTCATAATTAATTCACATCCATGAGATGTGAAGAATATAAACAATGTGTTTTGCTCATTGGTTTAGTTTTTATTTGTGCGAGGTTTAATTCTTGTTGATGTCTTAATTGTCCTTTGGACCAAAAATACTTATGGTTAATGTGTTTTATTTTATTTTCTTATGCAGCAATGTATCAATGAAGATGTTGAAAAGGACGATATAAATGATGAAATTCAAGAGGACGACATAAATGATAAAATTCAAGAGGACGACCTAAATGATAAAATTCAAGAGGACGACCTAAATGATAAAATTCAAGAGGACGACGTAGATGACGAATTTCAAGAGGACGACATAGATCTAGATGATGAATTTCAAGAGGAGGATATAGATGGTGAATTTCAAGAGGACGACGTAGATGAAGAATTTATGGAGGATGACATATCTAACGAATTTCAAGAGGACGATCTGGATGCTTTACTCCTAGAAGACAAACTTGAATGAGTTGGATGATGTCTTTTTTTTGGCTTGTAGTTGAAAGCATTAAACTTGAAATATGATTTTTGTTCTTTTGCTGAACTATGTTTTTAGTTATTTTACTAGGGTCATACTTCAAAGTATTAAAAGTAATATTGTTACGTTAGGCATTTTGTGTACTCTATATACTATATCTTGAATTAAAGTTTGAACTCGATTTTATTATATTACAACTTTTATGGATGTATGGTTTAAGTTATATAATCAATATTATTTTTGAAGCCAATTATTATTGACTATATTATTTTGATAATAATTGCAAAATTGTATATTTTATGTGGACACTATAAAACAACAACCTATAAGCTATGGCTGCACTTCAAAAATGATCTTCCTGATTCAGGTTTAAGGCAACGATTGTTAATTGTAGCCGAATTTGGCAACGCAACGCTTAAAAAACATTGTCTCAGAGGCCGTAAATAATCGTCCCCTATTCCTTTACTATAGGCGACGATTTTCAAAAGCGTTCCCAAAAAACATAAAAAAACGTCGCCTCAAACAATAGGCAACGCTCGCACAGGGGACGCCTAGAAAACGTCCCCTATTGTTTTAGGCAACGATTTTCAGAGTTCTGGCAACGTTTTTCAATTGTTGCTGGAGAGCCTAAATGTTGTAGTGTAAGATATTAGATATAATATCAAATATAATCTAAATTAGATATGTTGAGATATTAGATATAATATCAAATATAATTAAAATTAGATATATTGAGATATTAGATATAATATCAAATATAATTCAAGGTAGAAAGCCTAAGCCCAATTAGGGTTGTAAATAAATAGTCATAGTTTATATCATAATTTGTACAATACAGTTCAAGTTAATAAACCCTGCTGAGGAAATAAATCCTGCTGAAGAAGAGAATTTTGCAAGGGATTTTGCAACGTTGGAGAAATAAACTCTGTTGGAAAATTAAATTCATGTAAACTGTTTTGAGGAAGTTTCCACTATATGCTTGAGAAATGATCAGATTCCTTTATCCACTAGGGGGATCTGCTGGATAGTATCTTCGTTGGGGATAAGCCCGTGAAGGCAAACTCTGCGGGGATTTCCCTGTGGGGATTTCTGGGTAACTTGAACGTTATCCCAACTCCTAGAGTCTTTAGTAAATGCTTATTCTTGTTTTTATGCATAAATTTGTTAGCAATAATAATATTCATATGCATATGTTCATTCAATTTAGTCATTGGACATTTTTGCAAACAAAACACAAAAAGTAAAACAAATTTTGAATTTTGAACTTGTATTGATAATTGTATTGAAAATTTGCCTATAAATAGGCGGTTTTGTACATAGAGATATAAATCCTAGTAAGAGGAAATCGTCATGAAATGAAAAGAGTACAAAGTAAAAACAAAACATATAGCTATGTGTAAACGACCCCATCGAGTTTCAACTCTGCTATTGCCCCCAATATCTTCAAAAATATCATCCCTCATTGTCGGAAGAAGCTGATTGAATTGATCTCTACCGTTTGAACTTGACATTGATAATAAAGCTTGCCTAGACCGCTCTTTCGGGTTTTCAGTCTACCGGGATACCCTTTTTTGCCCAAGCCGCTTTTTTCAGGTTTTCGAATTGCCTGGTATACAATATTTATATATATCCCTAACTTTTACCCGAACCCTTTTAGTTCACCGGGATGCCCTTACTTTTGCTTAGGCTAGTCAACCTAGTAGATCTCTTTCATGCGTAATATCTTTTAACTATGTTCGTGTTCACAGGGTGAAAAAAATATTCACTGTCCATGGTGGTAAGTATCATAGCACCGCCAGAAAATATTTTCTTGATCACAAATGGCCCTTCGTAGGTGGGAGTCAATTTTCCCCTGGGATCACCTTATGGCAGGATGATGCACTTTATTACCAAATCACCAGCCTGATATATTTGGTGCTTGACTTTCTTGTTGAAGGCTTTGATCATACACTTCTGGTACATCTGACCATGACAAACTGCCGCAAGCCTTTACTTGTCGATCAAATTTAGCTAGTCTAACCTAGTCTGAATCCACATGTCTTCGTCTAAGTTTTTGTATTTCATAATTCTTAGAGAAGGATTCTAGACTTCGACGGGTAGGACCGCTTCCTTACCATAGACTAGGGAGAATGGGGTTGCCCCAGTTGATGTTAGCGCTGAAGTGCGATAACCATGAAGAGAAAATGGTAACGTATCATGCCAATATTTATACGTCACCGTCATCTTTTGTATAATCTTCTTGATGTTCTTATTGGTGGCTTCTACTGCGTCATTCATCTTCGGTCGATACAGAGAAGAATTATGGTGCTTAATCTTGAACTGCACGCAGACTTCTGTCATCGTATTATTGTTGAGATTGGTACCATTGTCTGTAATAATCCTTTCGGGGATGCCATACCAGTAAATGAGGTTATGCTTAATAAATAGGGCCACCACATTCTTGGTAAAAGAGGCAAATGTGGTTGCTCCAAACCACTTCGTGAAGTAGTCAGTAGCGACGAGGATGGAGCGGTGCCCATTAGAAGCAGTAGATTTGATTTCTCTAATCATATCAATGCCCCACATTACAAATGGCCAAGGAGCAGTCAATACGTTTAGAGGAACTGATGGCACATGTACTTTGTGAACATAGATCTTAAATTTGTGAAAGGTTCTTGAGTGGTGATGGAAGTTAGTTTCCATGGTCGACCAATAATAACCTGCTCTCAAAATCTTCTTAGCCATCGTATTCCCGTTGGAGTGTGTACCGAAGACCCCTTCGTGCATATCTTCCATAATTTTCTCAGCTTCCTTCTTATCCATACAATGAAGCAGAGTCGAATCATGGTTGCGCTTGTACAAAATTTTTTTGCTCAGGAAGAACTTAGCAGAGAATCTCCGTAGGAATTTCTTGTCATTGATAGATGCCCCCTCGGAGTACTCTTGAGCCTCGAGGTATCTCTTTACTTCGTGAAACCAAGGCTTCTCTTCTACTCTGTCAGTGTCAACTTCGTAATAGTGTGCTGATTCGTCCAGTCTCTCAATGGTAATTCGAGGAGCTTCATTATTCCATCTGACTTTGAACATAGATGACATTGTAGTTAATGTGTTTTCCAATTGATTCTCTTCTCGTGGGATATGTTCAAAAGTGATTTCCTTGAAATATGGAATTAAGGTTAACACATGATCTCGGTAAGGAATGAAATTTGGATGCTTCGTATCCCATTCTCCCTTAATCTGACTGATTACTAGGGACGAGTCCCCATATACGTTCAAGAACTTGATCCTCATATAAAT